ATTATTATTAGTAAATAATAATAATAATAATAATAATAGTAAATAATTAATAATAATAAATTTATTATTAGTTATAATAATAAATAGTTATAAATAAATATATAATAATAATAATAAATTTATTATTAATAAATATTATTAATAATACGTTACATTTTTCATTTTTCTCTTTACTACCATACCACCATATCATCTAGTCAGCTTTTCAGTGTTTTTTTGAATCATTTCTACAGTGCATTGCCTAAGTGCATTTTGTCCACAAAATATACATAATGACTGCCGCGCGAATGGGTTAACAATGACGCGATCATTTTAAAATGTCTGTTTCAACATCTTAAAATTCAATCTTATTGCATTGCATACTTCGTCGTATGAGTTCTGTATAAGAAAAAGGGGGGCGGGGGGAAGGAAGGATTATTATATTATTATTATTATATTATTCATTAAAGGAATTAGCTTGGAAATTCGTTTGATTGACGCAGGAGCGACGTAGGTTGAAAGAACGATTCCCAAGCCTGGCGCTCACGGAATCCGACGCAGAAGTGTGCCGCGCTACTTTAAGAAATTACGAAACCATGGCATTGGCACGAGAGGTGTGCGAGGGGAAATGTGCCATGGGCCGTCCTTGTCCGACTGGACTATGTAGGCAACCTTCCAAAAGGTTTGTTAGTTCTTCTGTCTGTCATCCTGTCCAACATGAATCCGTTTATCAACGTCAGATAACGTGCCCATCGCGTACGATCTCTCATTTCCCTTTGATGTACGTACGAAAGAAGAATTCACGAGAAAGAGGATATGAAACCGATATGTAACTCGACGTACGATTTCTTTGTTGCGTATAGAAGCCCGAGAAGAAAGCCATCCACAGGCAGTACTAGCAGCTTAAACACAGGCAGAACTCCACCACAGTCACCAAGGATGTTACCATCTGCACCGCCTTCACCAGCTATGCACCGGTCGGCCAGCGTGCTCTCAACAGCACGTCCAAGAAGCGGTCCTGCCGGTTTGCATTATTATACCGGGGGATCTGCGCCTCCCTCCAGGTAATGTCGACGAAATTACCTATCGCCTAGGTGTAACAGATTTTACAATCATTCGCTGGACGTTTTTTTTTTTGAACTTCCATTTAAAGACCTAGTGCTCGAAACAATGACTGACGATAAATGTGGTACCTTCAGGGCAGTGTCCAGAGTGGATTTATCGGCTGCAGTGGCTTGCAGCAGCAGCAGCACGAGTCTAACATCGGTAGGCAAATCGGGGATGTCCAGTAGTAATTGGCGATTGGCGGCTGGATCCGCGCCGAACACTCCGAGGCCGACGCCACCTGTTTCCCCTCAACGTTGGCCAAGACGAGCTTCTACTCGGCAAACGCCCGCCCTGCCCATCTCGCCAGAAACTCCTTCGACAACGACGTAGCACCTACGGAACATTACTTCGTTCTCGACTTTGCCCGAATAGCCTCCACCTTCGTTCATTCGATTCCTCACGGCACGCGTTAGCGCAATCATCGCTGATGCTTGCGCGATGTTTAGCGTTCCGTTGCGAGTATTGTAGAAACGTCGAGAAAGAAGTATTAAGAAATTTTCGATAACGGAGCAAGCACTCGGAGCTCAAACTTCTTAAGTTTACATCGCGAAAAACGGTGCCCTCCGATCGTGCGACTTCTTCTAAAACATGTCTTTCAGCGAGCTGTATCAAACCACGTGGACGCGCCCAACATGCTTTAAATAACGTACGATATTTGGAAATGAAGTCGTTTCTAAGTACTTCATCTGACTGGCCGATATAGCGAGGAAGCTACGAAAACCGAAAAACTTTGTTTACGAATAATTCACCGGTGGAAGTTTGAGCCTGTTTATTGATTGTATAAATGATTAACAAGGGGGGATTCTATGCCAGCTAATATAACGACATGTTCGTAACGTCGTGCTATTTGTACATTAATTGAAACGTTACGCGCGAGAAACCGCACAACGCACTTTCTTTTTCTCGCCGAAAGAAGCGAACGTATACGAAACCGAAATTCGATAACGTAAATAGCGTAAGCTGGCACGTATTGCATAAGAACCGCGTACTGAATGCCTAAGTATCGGCACGAATGTTAACCGATGCGACACGTATAATGATTTGAAACGCGCGTGACAGCGATCATCGACAATCTTGCGTACTAGGACTCTTGTTAATTAACGTTTTTTTAACGCGTACGATGAAAGTTATCATTTATGACGAAGCTAATATTACGACGAGAGTAATTCTTCGTTTCAAGAGAACTCGAGGAGAGAGGAAAATTTACTCGTTGAGATATCTCGATTACTTTCCAAACAGGACTATCGTTACTGTCCAAGATGAATAAGAAGAAAAAAAATAAGGTAGTTAAATTCGCTGTTAGAAGTACAGAAAATCGTTGCGAGTAACATAATACTATCAGCAGATTCACGTCGGTCGATTGTTACAATACACTGGGCATCTGGTGTTTCGTTTGACTCAGCTGAAACTATTTCAACAATAATTTTGTTACGGAATTTCCCCCTCCCCCCCCACCGAAGGCGACGAATCGCTTTAGAATCATTGTAAAATTCGTCGTTTCCCATTCACCCAGTCAGTGCTTGACTGCGATGTTCGATGTTTGCGTTCAAGATTTCTAGAGGCAATACAATTTACAGACAGTTAGGGGAAACAAAGAAAGAAAAAAGAAAAAGAGATGAGAATGACAACTGGCCGTTTTGAGGGAGCACGGTGAACAAGTTATCGCCAATACGAAGACTATCGTTCAAGAAATTCTCCAATTCCATTCGAACGAAAACAGCGAGAAGAGCGAAGGAGAACGCGAGCCGTTGTTCCTCGAATCGTTCCATTGAGTTTGTTCGCAACCGTCCATTGTAGTTGTTGGATTTGTAGCGAGAGCCACGCTGTTTAGCGCAAATTGTTAATCCAAAGGGAAGCATATTACATATATACGCGCATGTATTTAAAATTGGTGCGCCGATGAAAGTATTTTATGCACACACTGTCGCGCCGTAAACTGTGATTGAAAGGTGATTTATCTTCTAAAACGCTGGTCGTGTCAAAGAGGAGAGACAGAGAGATAGAGAAAGAAAGAAAAAAAAGGATAACTTCTCCATTAGTCGCACAATATTATTCGAGGCACAAGGCGTGTTACTCGATTCCAAGCGCACTCTGAGCGCACTTTCTTTTTAAAGTGCGAACGAAAGAGAGAGAAGAGAAATAGAAACGACGTATAGGTTAAGAGCGTTCTCTTATCTCTAGAGAAACAGAGAGAGAACTCTTCTTTGTGTGCATAAAATTCTACTTGTCATCGTACACCTTGTATGCATATACACTTTGTAGGCATACGTTGTTGCAAAAGGATTTCAGAAAATTTTATAACTTGTTGGCAAATGGTGATTATTATGCGACTATGTCGTAGATTAGATAGACAAGTTGTTATTCTTTCGTGCACTG